TGCCCGCGGCTCTCTCTCCTCATCCCTCTGCCCTCTCTGCTCGGGGCGGCTTGGAAGGGGCTGTTACATGCGAGATGGGGCAGCAGCCACTCGTCGTCTGAGCGACTTCCCATTTCGCCGTCCAGAACGATGGGAGTGGTTCCTCAAGCTGCTTGAAATACGTCTCTGCGATTTTCTTTCGATCGCGGTATCCGAGTTGGCTGCTGGCATCAATAAACTGCTCTGAATTGCTGCACGGCATTTGCTTTACCGGAGATACCAAACCGTTCAGTGGGTTTGGGTTTGGTTTGCTGGTTGATTTGGGACTTTTGTTGTTGTTTGGTTTTCCCACGTTGTGCCACATTTGGTACCTTCTAACGTAAGAGTGAAGTCTCTTCTGCCAGACTTCTGAGTTAATTTATGCCAAAATCTAAGCTATTTTACCAAACTATCTGTATGCATTGCAGTGCTGATTTGTCTACTCTTAAAAAGAACCACAATAAACCAGTCTGAGGGAATATTGTTATCATCTGTCACAGTTTAAGATTAAAAAAAAATAACCAAAGCACCAAGCCCCACCCCCAAAAACCCCAAACAAACTCCAGAACTGTAAATATTTTTGTACCAACCACCCATGATAACAAGTCATGCAGTTCATGGGCCATCTGAGAGCAATACTGAAGTATTTTGCCTTGTGTGTCAGATTTTAATGTAATATAAGGAATAGGGACATTTGGGTTTGCATGTATCTCGATACCTGGAATTTTGTATATTTTAAGTGGAAAAGCTGTTCATATTTTAATTCATTCTTTTATCTTAAAAAGTAATTACCTAAACTAGATCAAGGATGTGATGTTGGTTCTAGTCATCTCAAGCGAACTGAAAGCAAGTAAAATACTTGAAATAATTTATTGGAACTTAAGAGTGTTCTGAGGCAAAGATATTTTGCAGGACTTAGAAATGTAGATAGATCTTAAATACATGTGTAAATGAAACTGCAGTTAACAAACACATCCCAGACTATTTATGATTTTTGAGAGTCGATTCCCATAAATGCAAAGGGAGATCATTCTCTCTGTTTTATTGTCCTATTTTTTAAAAGGATTTCTCAGCTTTTAAAAAAGCTTTTTCATGAACACATGTGCAGTTTCAGATAATGACTTTAAAACTGTGGGCACATGTGTAGTAAAGCTGACACAGCATTCTTTCATACACCTGGAATTCATTAGAACATGAAATTGTGCATTGTGAAGTGAATTCTGTTGTATTTTTTTCAGTCCAGCAATGGTTTTTATTTGCACGGCAAGTAATGTCATTGTAGAAAATAATCATATTAATACCAACTTGCTTTCAAAAACTCTTTTATTTGATTATGGACTTTGGAGAGTTTTATAGAACAACATTTTTCTTAGATATCTATTTCTACTGAGAAGAAATGAAGTTCTGTAAGCTGTATGTTTGTGCATTGCTTTCTGAATGAAAATTTGTGGTGTTTGTTTTCAAAACTTTTTTTTTCGCCCCCTCTCAGAATCCTATTTTGGGGACAAAAGTTCCTGTGTAGAAAATGCTAATACCTTGAATCTCACAAGTTCTTCATCCGTGCGTGGCCTGAACAGCACATGTGT